GCAACTTTTCACTTCACACTCATGCCACTGAATTTCCTCCTTTTTTTTTGAGAAAGTCCAAGTTGCATGCGCCTGGATACGGTATTCTTTATGGTTATAGGTTGGGATCTCAAGTTTCATTTCCTCTTTCCCGTGTTACAATTACAAAAGAACAAAACTCAGTTTGCTTGACAACTGATATATATTAAACCAGGCATAATGGCTGCACTTTTTGTTTTTAAACCTAATAGGATCAAATAACATTTGAATTCTGTAGAGATTTTCCAAATAGCCAGTTGAACTTGTCAAAGTGTTCATCACTGTCCCTTTGTTTTTGACTTCACCGCTTGTCTCACTTTCAATCTTTATGGGTAAATTTTCCACAATTTTTTTGGAAATATTTAACTCAATTAACTTAACTTCATCACACAGCGATATGGCCCATGCTTGGGAAGATTAAGAATTAAACATTTGAATCTTTCACCTGTAATGAAACAAGCATGCGTATAGGATGGACTTCTCAACTTGAACTTTGAAATGGACAGATGACACATTTTTGCCATAGGGCATTTTACCGTTCTTTTCGATGTTAATCGATGTCACTGTCTGTCATTTTCATTTCCTCCCCTGTAGCCTCCGACATCTCAGCACTCACTGAGGAGACAGAATAGCGCTGATGATACCCAGTCCCCATCCAGTGATGGACCAAGCCTTCGACCCACCTCCCCTCTCCCGGCCCAACGCCCTACGTCCCCCAAACCAAGTAAGAGCATTACTGCTTGGAGCTTAGGTCCCGAGGACATTCAAGCTGGGAACTTACATGATTCATCTGGGATCCTCCTCTATGCATGTAACCATTGACTCTCTATGAATGCTTAAACTTACAAGGAGCGTAAGCCCCTCTACTTCTGTAGCATCAGTTGCTACAACTACTTCTTTTTTATTCCTCTAAATCTTTCAGACCTTTTGATTTATTTTGAAGAATTTGGGTTAATAAACAAGTAGTGCTGTATTTTGAGTCATTCTATAAATTAGGGGCCCAATATTTTTTTTGTCCCTGTCACATCTGAGATATGTTTCGCTTGTTCAGAACACATTCTGTAATCTCCAAGAATAGCAAATTAATGCAAATAACCCGCCAAACAACTAGAAATTGTTTGAAATCAATTTTGGTGACATTCCATGTCAATTTACTCTGGTAAGGTGTAACAGGGACACAAAAATGTCACACTTTTGGACCCTGAATTTATAGAATGGCCCATTTCTGTTTTTTATAGATGGCATGTATTTTATGTAACAAATTTAGTCCCAAAGGGTCTGGAGGCAACTGCAAGTTAGGCCGTGTCTGAAACAGGCTTCCAGAGCTACAGCTAGGTCTATTGTCTTCCCGTCTCCGCACATTTTCAATGGAGCTAAGACCAAGACTTACATGTAGCTCTAGACAACAGATGAAGATTCAGATGAAGCCTTAAGCTAGTTCTGTCTTAACCACTTTGCACTGGGCCGAGTTGTCAATGTTCATGCTGCTGGATCGGGTGCTTTTTAATTCTTTTTTTGTTTTCACAAAATTCTTCAAAAATTCTTCCAAAAGAACGACTGTTCTGTGGCGACTCTAATCTGACAGGCAACCTCCGTTGATGCGCGAGTATTGCAGCCACGCATGCTGCCCAGTAAAGAGCCCGCTGTATGTGGTGTCGCATAATGTCCTCTTTGTTCCAGGACTTAGCCCAGTGCGTTGCTACGCTGGATGGCCAGTGTTGCTATGCAGAGCGCATGGGTCATGAGGAGGAACGGGGCCATTCAACGGGCACACTGGTACAATGAACCCTGCATAATGCCACCAGATTCCTCGAGTGCGCAGCAGTATCATATGGCTAATCACTGGAGCACTGGAGGGTATGCTTTAGTCCCGCTGATAATTTGTGGGCGCTGGCAGTGGCAAACCATGATACTGTTTCAAAACAATGACGGATTATATAAATATATGGTGGTAAAGGGCAAAAGCCATACTTAAATGATGGATTACCTCTGCTAATGGCCAGCACTCTGCACTGATTGCGTATGAACCTTCATTGGCAAGTCCCAGCAGCTTAGTGTTTTGTTTCCAAGTTCGGCCACCCCATCATGAATAAGGGCCCACTTTTCTGGACCAGTGAGCCCATTTTTGGCCATCAGTGATGGACTTACCTTCAATGATGGCCCAAATTTTTGACAGACAGCAAGTAAACTTTTCTAAAAAACGCCCTGCAATTTTTTTTTTTTTAAAAGAAAGTTCCAATCTTGGATGCCCTGACCTCATGGGCTGCGCTTTGTGTCTCCAGTACCGGGCACCCCGGCCTGAAGTGGTTAATTTGCATTCAAATGAGAGTTTGATGTCAGATTATATTTCTTGTGCCGATCAAGTCAAAGGATTAAGGGCTTTCTGTTTTCGTGCTGGACAGACAAGTTGTCTGTGACCCGCCATTCCAAAACCAGTGGGTAATTTTTATGTTTTGACAACTCCTTTCCACTCTGTCATTCTGTGTTGTCAAAAAAAAATCCAAAGTAAACAAGTTTGTCTTCTATGAAAGCTTTGGTAGATTCAGGCAGTAAAATCAGTGGTATATATATTGTTCATGTGTATATTGGTATCATTTTTTTAAATATACGTCTACAATTTATCAATCTGGTGTTTGGAATGGTGGGTTACATTTTGACCTTTCATAACCTTAACAGCAACTTTTGAAAAAAAAATTCACAGCCAGGATGGGAAAGAGGTGATAATTACTACATCATTTAGTTGCAGATAGGCACATGCCTACGAGGTTCATGTACTTCATATTTGCTTCTGAGTAATCCAATCCTGTGTTTGTTCCAGGACCTGAGAACCTGGTGGAAATCAGCAGCAAGTCCAGACAAGACAAGAAGAAGATCAAGAACAAGCTGAAGAGCTTTATCACCAAGAGACCCACCATGGAAGCCTTGCAGAAACAAGGAATCATTAAAGGTGGGCTCACTGGCCACCTTGTCATCTCTGGGGACATTCTGTCCGTTTCTTCCTGCTTTGTGTTGTAAAAAGCAATTTGTCTAGCCAAATAAGACCCTTGTTTCTGACCCTTACACACCTTACTTTAGACCCAGTTGTTCGGCTTATTTGTCCACTAAAGAGCAACAGAAAATGATGCTGTATTGCACCCAGAATGTTTGAAACAATTGAAATCCTCCCCGTCTGCGTTTTAAATGACTGTTTAGGTAGGCAAGCCTTGATACGAAACAAAGTGTATGATCTCACCATTTTAAGCGTAATTTACAACAGTTTTGATATGTTTTGTCCGAAAATGATAAAGACCAATCAGTGTCAAGATCACTGTAAGCAGCACGTCCAGAAATGTACATCATATTTGCCTCTTTGTTTTTGCACTGAACTCGCAGAACTTGCAAATGGAACTGATTAAGAGTAAAATCAGTTTAGTAGAAAAACTTGTTGCAAAGTAAATCATGTTATTCCTTGACCTTGAAATCCCAAAGACTGTATTATATTCCAGGCTTGTAAATGAAATATGAACACCACAGTCAGTGGCCAAACTCCAACTGAACTGCGTCATCTCGGTGGAAGATAAAAAAGGTCTGCCCCTGCTTTATTATTTCTGACCTAACAATGTGATTTTGTTTTAGTTTGTTTTGTTTTGTTTTATGTTGTTTTGGACAGAGGAGGATGTGTTTGGTCGTCATATCCAAGCCTTGTGTGAGCAGCAGAGAACTCTGGTACCCAAGTTTGTCACAGATTGTATTGCCTTGATAGAGAAGTCTGGATTACACATGGACGGCATCTATCGAGTCAGTGGCAACTTATCCCTCATCCAGAAACTTCGCTTCCTTGTGGATCAAGGTAGGACATTCAGACTACCAGCATTTCCTGTTTCTCATTTTGTTAGTTATACCGTGGAACGCCGCTATACCGAACACCGCGCTACCGAACATTCTGCTGTACCGAACATCGTCCTTGGCTCCCAATATTTTGTACACAAAACCTACCGAACATTATGCAGTAGCTGTTTGTAATTCCCGAACGTCAACTTGATAAAACAGTCACTTTTTTTATGTTTGAGAGTAACAAGTGGCCATTATTTCCCCAAGGATTAGAAGGGAAAGCCACTAGTTGTTGAAGAATTAATTGTAATTAGCTAGCTGAGAAACTGGGTACGTGAGTCATTGGTCGGCACATGTTCAAAGTCGTCTTGTAATACGGCCACAGCACGCCGGATTAATTAGGCAACAGAATTGAATGGACACTGGTTTTGCAACTCCGCATTCGGGTACACGCACGTGCACCATAGCACTGCACTAACAATAGGCTAAAGAGGGTGCCACTGATACACAAGTCATCGAGATTCGCCACAGCTGCAGAGATCAATTCTGAGCAGTAGCTTTGATTTTTGAGTTTGAAGACGGCCGCTTTCAAAAGGTTCAAATGGCCAAAATAGCTTACAATCTTCCCACTCTGCTGGTTGCAGTGCATGAGTACACATCTACGCCTTTATCACTTTTCCGCTGCATATTCCGAAGTCATCCAAGCTTGTCATGGGAAAGAGAAAGATGGTGACCCTCGCTGATAAGCAAGAAATCATCAAGAGAATTGATGGTGGAGCCTCGCAAGCAGCTATCACTCAAGAATATGGAATTGGCCACACAACGGTCAATGAAATCTACAAGTTGCAGTGGGACAAGATCGAGGAATTTCTGAGAAGCTAGATTGACACCCCAGTTGGCATGATGCGGAAGAGGATGCAGAAAGCTAACAGTGAGGCAGTAGAGAATGCTGGTTTCACTTGGTTTAAGGCTCAGCTCAGGAAAGGAGCCATGGTTTCAGGGCCCCTCCTTGCTGAGAAAGCTGTCTATTTTGAGAGACGCATCAATGGTGAAGACAGCGCATTTGCAGCTTCAACTGGCTGGTTGAAGAGATTCAAAGAAAGGCACAGGATACGCGAACTTACCATGTCAGGAGAGTGCCTGTCCTCACCAAGGGAAGGCTCCATGTCCGAGTTCCAAAACTCGAGAACTGTTGCCAGAGCAGCACTACAATGCTGACGAGACTGGCTTGTTTTGGGGACTGCTGCCCAACAAAACTCTCGCCCATAGTGGTGAGAGCAACGCATCAGGCCAAAAGCAGGCGAAAGACCGGGTGACACTACTCTGCTGCGCCAATGAAACTGATGACCTCAAGCTGAAAATTACGATGGTGGGTAAGGCTAGAAACCCATGATGTTTTCATCTCATCAATCACAAGATCTTGCCCGTGGTCTACAAGAGCCAAGCAAATGCATGGGTGGACTCAGAACTGTTCAAAGACTGGTTCTTCCAAGAGTTTGTCCCACAAATAAAACAATTTCTGACAAAGAAGAACCTGCCTCATAAGGCAGTTCTACTGCTTGACAACTGCTCTGGACACATGCCCAAGAACCCCCTCGTGAGCCGCTGTCGGGGAATTCAATGCAAATTCTTTTCTCCAAACACTCCATCGAAGATGTAGCCGATGGACTGCGGTGTGATGCAGGGCATGAAGGAAGTCTATCGGAAACGTCTTCTCTGCCGGGTACTAGACAACGACAATGTGGACACGGACTTGACTTCAGTTTTGAAGTCCGTCACTCTCAAGGACGTATGCTACATGATCACAGAAGTATGGAAAGCAGTCAAGCCAAAATCCATTCAAGACGCCTTGAAGAAGACCCTCGGCACTCCAGTTCAAGGCAACAATCCGGCAGAAGAAGATGATGATGATGTTCCCCCACACAGCTGGTTCGGCAACTTGGAAACCAACGGAACTTGGAAGGGATGGGTGAACCGGCAGTTATAGCTGCATGGGAAGCCCTCGATGGCAATTTGCCAACGGATGCTGAGATGGAATGGAGTGACGACAAGATCGTGCAGGCTGTGACAGGAGGGCCCGTTCCAGCGGCAGATCCGATCGCTTAGGATGACAGCGATGATAAACCAGAGCCTACCCCACTTGCAACTGAGGCACTGGCAGGTTTGGGCCTTGTTCTGCGCTTCTTGGAATCTCAGGAAAATATTGACCCCATAACAATCATCAACGCGCAGCACATCAAGAATGTCATCTGACAGAAGCGAGATGAGGTAATGAAGCAAAAAAAGCTGACAGACTTTTTCAAGATGTAAGCAGACTCCATCAAATTGAACTTCAAAGCAAACGGTTCTTTTCAGAACCAACACATGTTCAAAACACAGATAGATCCCCTGCAGCTGCTCTGTGCCCCATTCCCTTCCCCCCAAAAAANCCTCACCAAGTGAAGGTTCCATGTCCGAGTTCCAAAACTCGTACTGTCGCTAACTGGATGAACGAGAACTGTTGCCAGAGCAGCGCTACAATGCTGACGAGACTGGCTTGTTTTGGGGACTGCTGCCCAACAAAACTCTCGCCCATAGTGGTGAGAGCAAAGTACCAGGCCAAAAGCAGGCGAAAGACCGGGTGACACTACTCTGCTGCGCCAATGAAACTGATGACCTCAAGCTGAAAATACGATGGTGGGCTAGAAACCCACGATGTTTTCATCACATCAATCACAAGATCTTGCCCGTGGTCTACAAGAGCCAAGCAAATGCATGGGTGGACTCAGAACTGTTCAAAGACTGGTTCGTCCAAGAGTTTGTCCCACAAATAAAACAATTTCTGACAAAGAAGAACCTACCTCATAAGGCAGTTCTACTGCTTGACAACTGCTCTGGACACATGCCCAAGAACCCCCTCGTGAGCCGCTGTCGGGGAATTCAATGCAAATTCTTTTCTCCAAACACTCCATCGAAGATGTAGCCGATGGACTGCCGTGTGATGCAGGCCATGAAGGAAGTCTATCAGAAACATCTTCTCTGCCGGGTACAAGACAACGACAATGTGGACACGGACTTGACTTCAGTTTTGAAGTCAGTCACTCTCAAGGACGTATGCTACATGATCACAGAAGCATGGAAAGCAGTCAAGCCAAAATCCATTCAAGACGCCTTGAAGAAGACCCTTGGCACTCCAGTTCAAGGGAACAAACCGGCAGAAGAAGATGATGATGATGTTCCCTCACACAGCTGGTTTGGCAACTTGGAAACCAACGGAACTTGGAAGAGATGGGTGAAACGGCAGTTATTGCTGCATGGGAAGCCCTCGATGACAATTTACCAATGGATGCTGAAATGGAATGGAGTGACGACGAGATCGTGCAGGCTGTGAGATAAGGGCAGAGGGGGAAGATCCGATCGCTTAGGATGACAGCGATGATAAACCAGAGCCTACCCCACTTGCAATTGAGGCACTGGCATGTTTGGGCCTTGTTCTGCGCTTCTTGGAATCTCAGGAAAACACTGACCCCATAACAATCATCAACTCGCAGCACATTAAGAATGTCATCAGACGGAAGCGAGATGAGGTGATGAAGCACAAAAAGCTGACAGACTTTTTCAAGATGTAAGCAGACTCCATCAAATTGAACTTCAAAGCAAACGGTTCTTTTCAGAACCAACACGTGTTCAAAAAACAGATAGATCCCCTGCAGCTGCTCTGTGCCTCATTCCCATTCCCCAAAAANGGAAAAGAAATAAACACAAGCACCTCCTTCTCCCTTCCCTTCATCATGTTGTCATTTATTAGACTTGTGTTGATTTTATTATTTTCACAATTACAACGGTAAGCTGAACAAAGATTAATCATGACTTTACAAGGATAAATTTGAAACAAATTTTGTTATTTAATATTTAAAAAAACCTTGAACGTGAGTGCAATGCCAAAAAATCAGGAAAACAGCGAAGCATAGTGTCAGAAGAGGGTGCACTTTGGTTAGACAAGAGAGGATGCTATTCAACATGACAACGAAACATTCGGCAGTTAATTTCACTATACCAAACGTCCGCTAGACTGAACATTTAGTGTGGACCATTGTGTTCGTTATAGCGGCATTCCACTGTACTTGGAAATCAAAGGTTTTTAACCATTTCCTGCCGGGGATTCCGGATCCGGACACGTATGCTTTATACGCTTGGCCGGGGTCTCCAAACTCGGACAAAGGGAACAGGGCGTTGTAACAAAAGACCGTACTCGGAATAAAAGACCAAGATGCTGGGCATTACCAACATTTTTTCACTCTCAGAAGTGGAGATAATCCAGCCTTGTTTCGAAACGGTATACCACGGTTTGGGGCATTTAGAGTGAGCGGATTACCACCAGGGACAAAAGCACTCCACCACCGCAGCGATGAGCCACATAGCACTTCTGCATGCTAATCTGGCCCCTATTGAAAAGAGGTCAGCGGCACACTGAGCCAGGTTCGTGAACAAAAGAAACTTATATAACACCGCACAATCTGGGCTCTTTTTACAAGGCTGCAGGCCTCGCTGAAATACTCGGGCATCAATAGATTTTGTCTGTCAGGCTAGAGAGGACACGAGACAGTCCTTCACGTGTTTGTAAGTGTCCAGTAAATGAAGAGAGGAATTTTTTACGAATTTTGAAAACAGAAAAAAATGATAATTATCCCGGACCAGCATCATCAACATTGGTAACTGCCCCCCGGCAGCAAGAGGTTAACATTTAATCAGACTGTTTATTGTGTCATCTAGTGCAGAGTCTGTCACAAGCAGTGGTATTTAGGACATTGATGGTGTTGCCTGCAGCATCCAAACAGGCACCATCATTTTTAGGAAATGCCTGAAATATTCAACATCGTTCAATAAGAAAATTGTGATCACTTAAACTCAGGACCTCATATTTAGATAAAAGGATGTCATGCTCAAGTACATATGTAGTTATTTAGCATGTTTACGTAATTGACCTTGATTAAAGTCATGGTATATTTTGGGGTACAGAAAAGCCAGTTGATTTCAGTGCATCACCATGGAAGGAAGACATCCATGTCATCGCAGGAGCACTCAAGCTGTACTTCAGAGAGTTACCTGAGCCATTGGTGACATTTGATGGCTATGATGGCTTCATGGAAGCAATGAGTAAGTCTGTCCCTTGGTCAGTCCATCAGCTTGGCACATACGATGTCAAACAACCCAAGTGCTTCTGGTCATGATTTTGTAGCATAAGTGTCATCAGGGACTGCACAGTGTCTGAGAGGCACAGTGTTATCATCCCTTGTGTGTGTGCTTGCTTGGCTGAGATGAAATACAGGCAGTTTCCACTTGAAAATTAATGTCCAAACCTCATTGGCCCTCACATGTATGCCAGGCACCATTGATGTTGAAGCATTGCCTGTGCCCTTCGATTTTTCACTTGTGCAGAAGGTTTATTGCATGAATAAAGTTCATGCCATGAGCATATGCGGGGTTGTGCACATGAATTGTGCCGAATGTGCAGGATTAATTTTCAACTGAATGTGCACAGACTGATAATGTTATCTGTGTGATCCCCTCAGACCACGATTACATAACAGATATGCTCATAAAGTGACCATCAGTAACAGAAATTACTCCTATTTTAATGCTTGGGGCATTTCTCCCCAACTGCCAACTACACATGCTTTTGTTTTCCTTGACTGCAGGGAAGCCTGACAGAAAGTCCAAACTGAAAGCCTTCCAGGACGTAATTAATTCCCTGCCTCGAGTCAACCAGGAGACCATGAAAGTCCTCTTTAGACATCTGAACAAGTATGTGGTGTAGGATACCCCACTCAAAGCTTGTCAAGAAGAATATTGTACATGTACATAACCCTTTACCTGCTAATGGCAATAGAATGCACTACTGATGAAAAATTGTTTTACATTATTGCTTTCAGCAGCGAGCATGAGTAGAAGAGTGCACTGTGTAACTTAAAGGGCAAAGCAGAACTGCCAACCTTTTATCGTATTTCGTACAATTTTACAGTGACAATACCACACTACAATTTTTGTCAATAAAATACGATTTACAAAAAAAATAAGCTTTGTATTTATTTTAGATTTTTACCTGTTGTTTGGCTTGAAAATTGACATTTTTCACGAGTCGGAATTGCCATGCAAATGCATGCAACATGCATGATGCGATGTCCATCCACGAGGCCCTCTATTGTCTATTACTGCTTCGTTTGTGCAGTTCGTCTTGGACCCAGACTATGCATCGCGCTCTCTTGATTGTTCAGTGTAGGGAACAGTGCAACAGTGAAGAAAAGGATTTTTTTCAGAAAATAGGATTTTCAAGGTAAAACCATAAGATTTTTGGTCAAGTGAGGTTGGCAGCTCTGGCCAAGACTAGTGCTGCTCCAGTGCACTGCACAGTGCCATAAAATCCACTCGTGCAGTTTCATGCATTCTGTTACATTCAGTATTATTGCTTTCGTTTCAGCTTTGTGACATGCTCTTGCATTTAGCAGACTGCCTGCTGAGAATCCCATTGGGATTAGGGTTGAAGGACTCCATCCTGCCGCAAATTAATAATTGTTGGATCTTTCACAAACCCGGCTGCAGTAGTGTTTATCAAAAGATATCTATGTGTGTTCTTTGCACCAGCCACATCTCCCACAACCATTTCCCATCCACCATCTTGGATGTGAGGCCATACTGGGCATATTCAGCGGCTGTGCCTTTGTCATGCATGCACCAAAGTCACAGCCGTAATGCTCACGTCAGATGGGACTTGGCATGAATTGTGACAAATCCAAATGGTTCTTGAGAACGTGCAAATTACTGACACCATATTTCCCCTGCTTGTTGACAAGTGCAAAAGAACATCAATTTGAAGCATTTTCTTCTGTCCTGTCACTGACCTTTTGGTTTTCCTTCACTTTCAAGTATTTGGTAAGAAAATAGTAAAACGGGCTCATTTCCCATCAAAACTGCTTCACACTGTCTAATTTTAAAATTTGTGAACTTTTTACATTTTTCTCTGATATCCATTTCATCAGGATGCTGTACCAAGTGACATATTAAAACAAAAAGAGCTTTCTTTGTGCTTTGCAATTCAAGCTAAAACAGCATAAATGCTAAAAAATAGCCTTAAGTCTCATTTTGAGGTATCTTGTGACATTTTGTCTTTATACAAAGACTACTGATTAAGTTAAATCTTGGTTTAAGCATCGGAGTGCGCCATAACAGCACTACCCTATGTTGAGGAGTAACAATTTTATAGGGCCAATTTCATTACGTTGTCTTAATCCTTAGAAATGCACCTGCATTTTGTCAAACCTTTCAGTCGAATTGGTTATCAATCACAAAAAAACTTCAATTTGAAGACAGTTGTTGCTTAGTCACATAAAGGTCTTGCCTTTTCATTTCTCTCTCGGCAGTGTTGTGGCTCACAAGGACAAGAACAGAATGCTACCTCAGAATCTAGCCATTGTCTTCGGCCCTACCCTTATGTGGCCCAAGAAAGAGAGCTTCAATGTGGCCTTGTCCATGGTCTATCAGAATCAGTGCATAGAATTCATCATCAATGAGCATCAGAACTTCTGGAAGTAGGCAGTACGTCCGGCTACAATCCATTTTGGGGGAGTCCTCCAAAGAGGCATTTGCCCTTGTCTTGATGGTATGCCCTCCAATTTCATTTTGTCAATGGTCTGTGCCATTACCTTGATTCCAGTTTATATGGCAAAGTGAAAGTTACAGTAATGGCAAACCTGGGAATGGTTTCCAATATTTGCTGAAGTCATCCCAGTAATGTTTGTTTTTTGGGGAATTTCTAAGGCTGACTTGTGCATAGGGCTTGACATGGGTACGTGGCTGGGGGTTTTACATATTGTTATTCACAGCATCAGAGTCTCTGCATGGAAGTGATTGCATTAAGCATGCGTTCACTGTCTCTAGAGGCAAATAGTTACTGATCCATAGTGTAGTTCACTGGTCAATCGTGCAATTACACGCAAATAGGCACAGGGATGCCCAATGGTAATGGCAGAAGCAACGATCAAAGTCACCTTGACAGTTTCTCTGAACAGTACATGGGAAGAGTTTGTGAACCATTACTGGGGGCCTACCTAGCGTGTAGTAATCAATGATAGTTGTCTAGAGGAAGTGTCTAATGCCACGCTGATACATGCACTCAGGTGCGGCAAAGATGTCTGTTGAATGACCCAGATTCAGGGTAACTGTTACACAGTTTGTAAGCCAGTATATATCCACAGCAGTGGTCGTACTCTGGCAATACACTGGTGAGGATGGATCTTTGTTGGAGTACTATAACTTCAAGCTCGCACAAGCAAACCTGTCAGCATGCAATAAATAGAACAGAATAAGCTAGTCGCAAAGGCCACTACCTTTTAAATTGTCAGAACAATTTTGGGGGGGGCCTAATTAAGTGGCTCTGTAGAATTGGCCTGGTTTTCATCAGTGAATGGGCTTTGAGTTGTCAGAAGAACTTGTAAATAACCAGCATAATCAAGAGAATTAATGAACTTGGACATAGATTGTTATATTTTTCAGCAGAAGAAACAACAAGTGTAATGATATCTATCAACTTTCTGTGAGAGGGGTTTTGTACTTGGTGTAAATATACTAATTAAGTGTTGTCAATGATTTGGATATTTTGGCAAACAAAAAATGTGGAGCATATTAACTTTATGGAGGCGTACATTTCTGTTTATTGTTTATTCTTTTAACAACCTGTACTGTTGTGGTCATCAAAAGACAGTTCAGTAATGTTATTGAAATACCATTCTTATTTCAGTGGTAGAGACAGTTAATTCCTAAGCTAGACATTGGTAAATTGGGGGCATGACTTTGTACCAAATTATGCATTGAAGGAAAACTTGTTCAATTAAGATATTGTACTGTGATAAAGCACTCGTGGCCAGCTAATCCATGGAGGGTATGTCGGAACACATTTCTGGTGGCCTAACTGTCTGACCATGTGGAACACATTGCACAACGCTTGACTGTTACACTTTGAATGAGAACTCTGTACATGGTAGGCTGCAGGAGCAGATCATATGTAATGCTAGAACCTGGCATATAAGTCAAAGTCCACTTTATGTTGTATCATTAGACATTTGACATTGAGTGTTCTGTTCCTTGAAATTTGAGCAGTGAGCTGATAGACTAATTCTGTGAGCACAGAGTCATTGTCCACAAATCTAAAATGAAATGCAAGTCTAGAAATGGCAAATGAACAATTTTGTAAAGGTGAAATAGCTTTTCGGAACCACACATACTTAGAAAACAGATATATCCTTGCATGGTGCTACGGCAATCCTTGACTGTATTTTCCAACTTCTCCATGGAAAGCTGCATTGATCATGTGATCTATCATTTCAATAATAATACACAACACTTTGCAGAATCATGAATGCCAGGTGTGTGCTGTCCTGAGTGGTCACTCACCTGTCAGGGGTGGTCAGTTAGTTAAGTAATCATGTAACAGCTGGGTAAATGGTCACTCAGCCATCATGAGTGGTCACCCAGCCCCATTTCCCCGTCATCATGGAGTCCATAAAACAGTGTTTGGACATTTAACTTTCACAACACTGCTGTGACTTCACAGATTGTATAAAGCACCCTGCCTCAAATCTGACACAAAACATGGGCCTGATTCTCAATTTAATGGCAGTGGTCTCCATGGCGATGTATGCAGTCAGTGTACATATAATAAAGATTTTCTTTCATGAGATATCTACTGCTGATCTTTCTATAAATTTTACATTTTATTTTTATTATTGTGCATCAAGTAACTTTGTCAATAGTTTATACACAGACATTTTATAGCTGCGGTGTACTAATTGTAAACTTGATCTGATCAGAAATTTGATGAATGCTGAGTCGTATGTATTGACAGTGCAGAAGCCTGAAAACTTGAGATGCTGAAGTCTGTCAGAAACCTTAAGGAGGGGACATGTGTGACAGATTTTCAGAGAGTTTAACAAAATGATATCCCTCAAGTCTTTGTTAGTAAAGTAATAGTAAAAATTAACTCGCCATAGACCTGAAGCATAATGACATCACACATTGTTTACATGTGTAGTTTCCTATGGGTGCTGATGGATTACGTCGCACCTCGTTGCCATAGGAAAGCACACATGTAAACAAGGTGTGTGGTATAGGTCTATTCCTGCAATGAGATACCTTTTTCAATTATGTCTTTCCAGAGCAATGTGTACAGTATTTTGCTGTGCAGCCGGTCCAGGCCGTGTAAAGGTCTGCATTTGGGTTTGTTTGTTTTTTTTCAGAGTTAACTTTCAGCACAACGTTATTCGTTTGGTTTGTTTTAAATTTTATTGTTTGAGGACTATCTGTAATATGCTCAGAATGAGAAAGTTGAAGAGATGCAACATTTGAAAATTAATTTGAATTGTCAAAAGCAATGGACGTCCAAACCTGCATTTTTGGCCTTTCTTTGAAAGAGCTTAATTGACTTGAGCCAGTTTGCAGCAACCTGCTCACAGCAATGTCAACTTTTCTGTGCAGTGTTAAGACAGTATCCACAATGTTTTTGCATTGTACTGCGAAAAACCTGCCCAACTGATTCATTAGTTGAGTTACTTGAGTCAAATGCACTTGCACAAGTAAACATACATGTAAGGGGAGTAATTAAACACTGATTAAAGGTTGGATGGTGTATTTTAGATGCCATTTTTTACATGTACAAAAATCTTCAATTTTTTGCTGTTTACTGTTCCATTCATTTCTCAGTGCCCCGAAGCTAGTGTGTTCCAAAGTTCCATCATATCCGTCCAAAAGAACCAAAGACCAAAATACCCATAGCTCTGAAGTGTCCAGACTGAGTAGTAGGCATTGTTGCTGTTTTTGATCAATATGAGGCCAACTTACGTGGGAGAGCTTGTTTGTTGGGTACTAAACTCATAATTGTGAGTTTACACTTATGGAGCGTGAGCCCCAGTTGCCTAGACACTTTCTGGGGAGTATCCTGGAACCCTCAAATATTCTCCACTGAGAGAAATGCAAGAAGAACCTAAGAACACACTCATTGTTCTTCCAAGAGCCTTCTTCCTCAATCCTTCAAAGTCTACCAGAGTCATCTTCAAATTAAAGTGAATGTTGAAGAATCTAGGAGCATTGGGGTATTATTGTAGGTCGGCATATGCACCATGGATCGTTGATAGCTTTGCAACTTTTTGAGCATGCATGGTTTGAAGTAGCCGATGTCATCTGGAATGATCAGGATGACAATCAGTGTGTCTTCAAGAACTTATTCCATTTAGAATTTTGTAATGCACTCAGTCTTTGACTAGCAATCTTTCATGTATTTTGGGTTAGGAAATTGTTAAATTGCTTATCTGAGTTTATAATGTATTTGGGCAGGTCATTGGATTTACATTTTAAGTTGTCAGATATATTGGCCAAAATATGTAACATTGAAATATTGAAAGTTAATTGAGTTAATTAAACATGCTTTGCATGTACATGTAATGTCTTGATTTTTCCTAATTATATATTAATGTACAAGTATGTGAGTGAATCATTTTTTCCCAATGTGTATACCGTTCCCACCAATGTATAGAAACCTTAAACAGCATTCTATTTTGCCTTACTTTTGTAAGTTTGTGTTAGTTCAGTTTTTGTTTTGTGCTCTCTTGATTTCTTGTCTGTGTTTCTCTTTTGTTTTTGCTTTAGAGATTGTTTCTGGCTCAAGGTTTTGTTTCGTGTTTTGTTTCTGTTGTTTTGATGTTTCTCTTTTTTGTGGGGAGGGGGAGTGCATGTTTTCATGTTGGAATGTATTTCCACGCATCTACGGTGTACAACTTTGATGTACAGTAGACATGTAAACAACATTGACGTGTGCAGTGTGAGCAAGATAGCTAAGGTCCTCATGCAGTTGGACTTCAACTTACATGTTCCATAGACATTGGTGCTTATAGGGCAGCATGCTGTGTGTGGATGGGCGGAGCCAGTAAAAGGGTGGGCTTGTACATGTATCCTTTGTGTGATAGTACAGTAATATGAATGGTATAAATTGGCATTATTTTTCTATCGTCAGGATAAACTACAGTTTGGTTTTGCCCATTGTATGATTTCTGGTTATACTCCCAAATTGATTGAATGGCAGCAATATTTTTGCAGCATTGCGCTGTCAGAAAGACTGTTGTTTTGAGAAAGTGTGTTATTTCATATGCCAGAAACATGTTGTCTTTATATATGCAAACAGCAAGCCTGCTCTGTATAACATATCATATATTGGTTAACAAGTCTTTCTTTATACTTTGAGTTCTCAGTCTGTATATAGTGAACTTGTATCATAATGAGATTGGGGAATAAAGCATAACCTGGTGATAGCAAAATCAGTCAGTACCTCTTGAAAGAATCGGTTTTGTACATCAGCCATCTGCCCACCCATTTCTCTGTTTGTTTGGCATAGTCAGTTTGGACACCATTCACAACTTGGAAAACTATTTCCCAAATAGTCATTGCAGACACCATGCTGTTCAGACAGGCTCATCACAACCATAAAAGACCTGGAGTCAACAGTTCTCCGATTTTGCTGCAGAGAAGTTTTTTTCAGGTGAGCTTTTAGAGTAACTCTGCAGTCATTTTTGGCACCAAAATCGAGCAGTCATTTTTGGCGCCAAAATCGAGCATACCGTTCTTGTAAAGCACCCCTTTTTCCGAGACAAGTCAGCCAAAAATGTATATTTTTTCCGCTGCAGTGCTCAATACACACAGGCTGGTAAGCATGTAGCCTTGAACTTGCAATGTTTGTAGCAACAAAACGATGTCTGATTGAGTTCACAACAGGCTAATGTAGTGACGTCAGTTTTCATAGAATACATGTACACTTTCCTATGAAGCTGGTGGGGGCCCGAAGTCCACTGTGCATGAAAGGAAAGCAAACATGTAAACACAGTGTGGCATGATCAGAACATCAATCTATTTAGAGTGATTATGAAAAGACACAATGATTACATTACGATCCACCACCAAGAAATTACCACAGAGGCAATAAGGCGGGGTTGCACATATCATTAAGGCAGGTTGCACATATNATTGAATTAAATAATATTCCTTGTGTTTCATGAATCACTTGAAGTAGCTTCAGTTGACTGGTGAACATGTTTAGCATAGGAAGGGGATGGAGAGAATGCTTCTAGTCATACAACAAACATAATGAAGGATTCATGACAATTTCTTTGTGCTGACATATTTAATTGTTACTATAATCTCATAGATTTTTGATGCTATATTCTGTTGCTCACGAGCACTAAATAACAATAACACGATTCTACTTCACACACTTTGTAGTTGTCAATTGCAATTTCATTACATGCTTTCTTTACTTGATATCCAACTTCAAAAGCTGTGGAATTTGATAGTTTTGTTTTTTTTTTGCATTCATGTCAACTAAATGCATCAAGATAGATACAGCAGCTGCTAAAACTCTATCTTGTAATTTCTGTTTCTACTTACATCATGCCTGAACGTTTAACAGCAAACTGCACAAAATGCCCTGTGATAAACCGACATGTGGAGTGCATACTGCACGTCAGCTGTACAGGGTCGTGTGTATTACTTACTACACGGTGTGGTAAATCCTTGGGGGGGTTCAGAAATTTAGTGGGAAGAAATCCATTAAGTTGATATTTTTCATGCCAGGAGTGAAAAAAGGATTGTCCTAAGACAACTCCAGTTACAGAGTCCATGGAATCAAATGTGGCAGTGGAATGTCATCTTTGATACATTTTATCGTCATGTTCAGTCTTGTACTGCCATCGTTAATCTGAGGGCATATGAGGGACCTTTTGGGCATTCATGCAAATTTCCATATCCATAAGCAAATAGAAATGTAATTTCCTGATACTTTGTCCTCAAAAGTTACCAGAATACCAAAATATTTCTAATGAAGTATAGACACGTACAAAAAACTGTAGTGTGCCAAAATGGCTCCACATCTACAGCAGTGAGTCTTGAAATGGCACACATAATTACAGACATGTACAGAGAGAAAAATGTGTCTCATCATGATGATACAGTTCAGAGGAATGGGTATATTCCCATCATACATTTTAGTGTAACATTAGTTGCCTGGATCTTGAAATCAGGACTGCTTTACAAACTAGAACGTAAGACCTTCAGCATGCATGCAGTCTGGGAATGAGGTTGATTCACAGGCCCAATGAGGCAATGCTGGCAGAAAGGAAATCTTTAACATCCATAGAGTTGCCAAACACAATGCCATCTGGGCAATAGATCCTAACACTGAGTCATTTCAAATAATTGAATTTTCTAATATTTGATCGTTCAAATATTCCATTATTCAAAATTCCCACAAAAGCAGAAACAACACGTGCATGTTTGTGTGGTGATCACTCTGTTGAGTTTCACGACAGGAGTCTGCTGCTTCGTTAAAGGAGAAGGCTGGCAGTGCAACAGTTTGGTCATAATTGCTGATTTGTTCCCCAAGTCTCAGCGAGATCACAAGAGCAATTGTTCTGTCTTTTTGTAGAGCGCATGCATCGACTGCTTTGTTAGTGTATTTGTAACACCTTGAAATGTTCTTACAGGAGGCAATTTTGTGACTGAACAATGGAATTTGTCCCCTATTATTTCATTGATTTTTACCCCAACATAAACAATTTCAACAATAAATATTTGAATATTCATTAGTAAGTCAGTTTGGTATTCCAACAGTACATGCACCAACATGAAATGTATCCCAGGTCATTTAGGAACAAGCATACGAGTATGACATCTGCTCTTGGGGTGTGGCCATCCACTCACATGCTTTGTTCTCAAATGATCTTGCATTTTTTGAAATACCACACTGCCTCAATGGTCCAAAGTGACTTGGCTTGAAATCTCCACACAAAGCTGAACGTCTCCTTCAAAATTCCAGTTTGTCTCTGGGTGTTTGAGCGAAACCAGAGGGTTGGTGTGGCCTGTCTTGTCTGTTGAGCGTTCATTGCGCTGGGCTGGCTGTCCTGGTGACAGGTACATGTCTTGCTCTGGAAAAACCCTGACACAAAACATGACAAGGTTACTGTTGCTGAAGAACATTACTTCAAAGTGCTGTGGGGTTTACACTCTAGCTTGCCCTGCTCAAAATTCTGGTACATTTGTCACTGTGCCAATTACAGGGCCAGGCTGAATCTATGAGGTAGCAGTCAGTGTGTGCTCGCTGAGGTACACTCTCACTAACTGTAGCCAGGACAGAGATGTCCCCTGTGATTGAGTTGGCAATTTACACCAATAACGGCAACATAAGAGGAATGTTTCTTTATAAGCCCAATGAGCAGGGGTAATAATAACGTCAATGTAAATAATTTGTTCATCTGACTTTTGCAACCACCTGTTTGGCTAGAATTGGTCTGGCAACTCTGACAGGATGGCCTGGACTTGACAAATACTGAACCTCAGTGACCAGACTGGAGTGCCATCGCAGATGAAGAGATCCTGAACAAAATGTGATGAAATCAAATCAAACATAGTCCAATGAGTAAACATCAGATTAGAGATTTGAGATTACCAACTAGGAATAAAACAGATATATTTGAACAGAATTCTTTATCAAATGTGATGTGATATCAACCTAATGCCTAATGTTTGTTCCAATAATACCCAATGGATAGCACATTTTCCTCCTGTATCCTGACTCAACCCAACAGCAATAATTTTGACATGTTTTCACACTCGCTGTGTATTTTAATGTCCCCCTCCTTAGAGTTCCTAACTTTCCCAGTTTGTTCATGTTCACATGATATGTAGAACTGAAAATTGACTGGATAAGATGTTTACACTTAAATTTTTCTTAATCATGTTTTGGATCCGAAATGTTTAACTGATTCGACCCTGCTTTAATACCAGACACTGCCCACAAGAGTGACCATTACTTCCAACACACAGATTTACATGTACATGAAGAGAATAAACACAAAAAAACTTGTTGCACAATCTTCAGCAAACTAAGAGCTAAATTCTTTCCCTCTACACTCTAAGGGCAGTGAATACCAAACCTATTTGACCATAAAATAGTCAAAGATTGATAAGCAACCTTTGTCACGTTCGGTGGGAGTCTGAGTGACCACAGGTGATACGGTTAATCCTTGCATGTTGCCATGGCGACTGTTCCTGATGGTGTGTAACCGTGTCACAATATCCAACTCTTGATCAGTCTGCAGAGATCAATCAAATCATAAAAATTAACATTGTTGCTTTCACTTCCAGTCAGTCAGATTTCCATATTATCTCAAAACTTTTCTTTGTGCTCAGGCAAGTAATACACTGCTGCTCAGAGCATTTTCAATTGCCAAAAAATGAAACAAAAAAGGAATCAGATGTCTCCAGTTTTCATTTCATTAGTTACAAATTGCATTCTCAAAGCATACCAAGGAGTTGAGGCTTAAAGGCAGCTGATGCATACGCCAACATTAAAGCCCAAAATGGCATGTACATGTAATATCAATGGGACTGAGACTAAATCTTGAATAAATCACCAGTTAGGACAAAACATAAGTTGGACTCCGACTCTCCTGAAACTCAACCATGTGGACCACCATACAAACATGCATTGTTTGTTTTATTGGCAAGAATTTGGTATTTAACCCCTTCACGCCACGCAACAGTAAGAGCCACCGTAAAAATTGAGATCCTCCGCCCACTTTTCAGCTACTATTCTCGGCCCACGCTCGAGCGAACACGGTGAAAGAAGGCAGACGCTGGCTCTTGTATATATGGTGATTGGCCTTTGTGTGTAGCCCAGAAATGAAA